ATAGCAACCATTAAGAAGGATTTCATTCTTCTTTTCTCCAGAAAACATGCATGTAACAGGGCATCCAAAATACAAAACATGTGCAGGTTCAAACCCAAACTAGAACTTACTGGTTAGAACACAAAACCTGTTACCATCTTTGGTAGGCTCTGGACAAAGACCAGTCCACTTGAGAAGAAGAAACCCTGGAAATATCGGGGAGTAGACTGATAAACTTTGTGTTTCGTTACGCTGGAATAATTTAGTTTTGACATGTCAGAATTTTGATTTAAATTACGTCTCAGAAAATTCAAGAATGGCTTTAGTCATGAACTCTGTACTGGGATGTAGAAGGATCTGCAAACTAAACAAATACACCAACTCAGTTCTCCTTTCCCAACATACATGTAGCATACCTGCTGGTTAAAATTATGGCATAACTTTCTCTCAAACCTCTAGAACACTTGAACTAAGGAGAAGAAGAAAGATTAAGACACTCTCTTTCTACTGACTAGCAACTATTAAAACTTAGATGACTGAAGTACTAAACCATGAGTGTAAATGCACTATTAAGACACAAAAGAAAAAGAACTAGTGTTCTGAGAATGTAATTTTTGATTGCTATTTAGGATATTGTAAAGAGACTGTCCAATGATACTGAGCACTCTGAAGTATCAAACCACTTTTCAGTATCCAAAATCTGTAATACTGTCTAGTGATGAAGATATTGTGTTGTCTACATTAACATTATGTTATTCTTGGTACCTAGTATTCTTACTGCATTTGACAAGGACTGTTCAAGAGTTAATAGCGCTGCGTAAGACCCCTTTCTTTGGTCTGCAAACACAGTAAGATGCATTATCTTTGGAGTTGTGTTAGCTCTAGAGTTAACCACAGGATGAAGAGATGCCATCTCCGCAATGAACCTCCTTTTAGCACAAGGTAAACATACTTCCCCCACATCAGCCAGTCGCACAGCATTAGCTCTGCAGTGTGATTGATTGCCAGCAGAGTGTTGCTGAGATATGGATTTGTATCTCAGCTTTTTATCACCATGACTTGCAAAAGGCAGTTCCTTATTTACAGACTCTAGCTGTATTAAGTGACATTATTAGGTCCTACTTTTGTGTAAGTGACACAAAGACTTAGCATATTGGTGGTTTATGACATACAAGCTGTTTTAATCTGATGATTTACCCCTCACTTTTTCAATTTGTAAATAGGAGCTGCAGCACAAGAACATATGGTACTAAAGAAATTAAAGCTAAGGTAAATGGCATTAAAACAAATTCAAATAGAACAATAGGATACTCAATCTGAATTATAAATCTGAATCTGTATTACTAAGACTTTTAAGAACAGGAAATAAAAACCTAAATGTGAAAATTGACCTTTCTGTTGTTATTTTGAAAGACCATTTCAGGGGTTTACTGTGATTGAGTAATTTCCTTATTAACACTCATTACTTACATCTTACAGTTAAACGAATACATCAGTAAAGATATTTTTAATAATTACGTCTGAATACCACATTACTAAAAATTAGTCGTTTACTTTTTTAACTTTGGGGTTCACAGTACATTGCTTCTGATACAGTAAAACTATGTTATGCATTCTTAAATGTTTATTAAACATATTTGCTTATATCTATAAACACCGTAATTGAGCACAAACCCAAAAAGGAGCCCAGGATAACTGCCAGCCCAATGCTCATATTCCATACCAAGTATCAGTTGAAATTGAAAGAAAGATTAAGTTTCATAACTTTGTGACAGCTTACTCAAAGAAGGGATTTCATTATACTTTTCATGTAAATAGGAACATTTCTCTCATGATTATTCTGCAGATAAGCTCCAGTCTCTAGCACATGACAATAAGGGGTCCAAAGTAAAGACATTCCTTCTGTAATTAAATTTAAATTTAAGCATATGCTTAATTTATATCAATCAATTTGATATGTGGGATTAGTTCCATCAGCTTGTAATTGATGAACTTCATCAAAGACAGTTTTTTGGTACAGCCTTACACTTAGTGAACTCAGACAAAAATAATTTTTCTCATATGCTGTACTTCTTCAGCTAAGTATAGTGGCAAAAGTATTTTTATACCACTATAAAGACTTTCATGTAACTGCTAATGCTATACTGCATTGCTGCTTAAGTGAAACATCTCTTTTGAGAACAACTTGTTCAGTTTATGTATGCTTTTATTTTTCACTTTTATTACAGCTTGGAAGGCTGGTTCATTGTGGGTTTTGTCTGTTTGGTTGGTTTTTAATCTACTTGGTTGTTTGCAGTATCTCATCTGTGTAATTTCACAAAAAAATTGTAGAGTTCTTCATTCTCCTCTCTATATATAAGGCATCATAAGAAGCACAGTCATGAATGAAACAGGATTGGAAACAAGATCTGATTTTAGCATTCTCTTAGGCTTCAGAAGAATCACATACGATAGTGCTTCTGAACAAAAAAAAATCCCTAACTTAAAATCTGTAAAATATGCCTGCACTGACGTGTCAATGTAGCCTAAGCACAATTCCTACTAACATGTCTGTAAAGATTCTCCTTCTGGGGTGAGAAGCAGCTGCTTAGAAATGGTTTCACTCTCAGCTACTTAGGTAGGAATGAAGCAGAAATTTGAACTACCTAAGTGGTAATATTTCTGACAGCTGATGTTTTGTATTTACTGTACTGTACTAAGTTTGTAAACATGAGAGTAACTCCCTGGTGTCTCAAACTACCTCAAACTAAGTTTGCAAACATGAGAGTATCACTCCCCTAAACAGGACACAAGTCAGTCAAGGAAATCCGAGCAGTTCACTGTAGTAAGAACAACCCATCCTCTGACCTTCCAGACTCTGGAGTCGCTGACTCCAGAGGCAAGTATGACTCAGAGATTTCTCATCTGTGAGATCCTAGCCAAGGCCTTTCCTCAGTTTCAACAACCTTTCTTTCAAAAACCCAACTCATGTTAGTTTTTATCAAGAAAGTTGCAACAAAACAAACAGCCAGTTCTCTATGCATCAGCTGCTGCTATTTGCTTTAGACAATCTTGCGTTCGAATTAACAGAAAAAGTGCATAGTGCACTGACTGACTAAAACAAGGAATCTGAGTAGGCAATTACCTTTTTCCCGCTCTGACAAAACCCATTTACTTAGTGAATAATCCAGCATCAGTTATGAGCACAAAGTGCAGATACCTATGTTGAGAATATACTCTTTACTCTGTAAAGGAAGTGCCTCCTGAACAGATGGAAGGATATACCTCTTCAACTACCAGTAAAGACAGGTATGCACTAACAGATGAAACGATTCCATTTAGCGCGTTTCTCCCCCTAGATACAAGTAACAACGTAAGAACTAAGAAAGCTTGCATGTCACTTGGCTGTATTTCTGGACATTAGCCTTTATTTAAAACATACACAGGAAAAAAGGACATGGACTCTGCATTCCTCATCCTCTCACACATTCTGTATTAAACTTGCAGAAGAAATCTTGCACCTAGAGTAGAAACTGTTCTGCTGGATGTTCATTTGATCCCCTCAGGGTTTCCAGAAAGGCTGACATGTATTGTATCTGTCAAGTATAAATCTTTCCTAAACTTCCTTTTCAGGACTTTTCAGTTGGGGCTGTTCAGCCTGGAGAAGAGAAGGCTGAGTGGAGACCTCATAGCAGCCTTCCAGTAGCTGAAAGGGGACTATAACAACGCTGGGGAGAGACTCTTCATTAGGGACTGTAGTGATAGGACAAGAGGTAATGGGTTAAAACTTAGGGGAAGTTTAGATTGCCTATAAGGAAGAAGTTCTTTACTGTAAGGGTGGTGAGGCACTGGAGTGGTTTGCCCAGGGAAGTTGTGAATGCTCCATCCCTGGTGGAGTTCAAGGCCAGGTTGGACAGAGCCTTGGGTGACATGGTTTAGAGTGAGGTGTCCCTGCCCATGGCAGAGGATTTGGAACTAGATGATCTTAAGGTCCTTTCCAACGGTAAGTATTCTATGATTCTATGACTAAGACAAGTGAGGAATGAGATGGTCAAGGAAACTCAGTTTGTGTACACAGAATTCAGGTTTACCATTTCAGGTCATTCTGCTCTAGAAGTTCATATTTCAACTAAATTAGTACTTCCGTGAGAGCTAGAAAATGTCTTCAATTTGGTAAGAAAGGTGGGTTAGGGTTCTTTGGGGGGAGGTGGGTTTGTTGTTTGGTTTTTTTTTCATTTTGGGTTGTTCTGTTTTTTTTTTTTGGGGGGGGGGGTGTGCTCCCCTGGTTAAAAGGTTAACACAATTGGATTTATGGAAAAACTAAGCACTGTGCTCCTCTTCAAAACATAATGGAGAATTAGTTCCTTCTTTCTGCCCATGAGTGATGTAAGTGTAAACATGAGCTCTAACAGTGCTGGCACTTGGTCAGAAGGCAGGTTAGAGCCAGGTGCCTGAAATGTCTTGCCTCAATACTTGAGCAGAAAAAACAAATTCAACCCTCAGAACAGGCTATGAATCGTTTCCTTGCTTTCTGGTCCTAGGTCGTGACTAAAATCCAGACACTGAATCTAGACAGAATGTTGACAAGAGAATTTCATCACTGATTTTAGTAAGGACAGACACCAGCTCCTTAATAGCAATGAAGCCGTAAAGACAGCCAGCTGTTACAGGATCTGTCACAAACAGTAGCTGGCTGCAATGAGTGTTCCATAAAATTCTCTACCTTCACAGCACAGGACTTCAGCTATGGACCAGATGCTAATTCTTTTTACTCTAATTGTAAGGATGAAGTGGATCTAAAAGAAAGATATTCTGTTGCCTTTTCAAGATTCAGAACACACATGCAAAGTCTGATATCTCCATAAGGTGCTGAACAGAGGTAATGGTCAAACATGCTTTGGGGAAAAAACACCTACATTTTTCTGTGATCATGATTTCTGGTGATTTTTCTAATGATGGCCTAAAAAGAAGCTGCTGAAAACATTTTGTCACAAATCTTAGCAAACTTCTGTTAAGTCTATCTGTGTAAAGACAAGTGAGCATTAAGAATATTCTTTCCTTTTTATTGTGTTACCTGACTTTTTGGACAAGTTAGGAAAATGACTACTTTTCCAACCATACTCAGAAAAAATGAAATATTGTTACACTGAAATACAGAGACACATTAAAGTCTAACTTCAAAAGCAAAATCCTCACAATTACTGCCGAGACAAAATCTTCGCGTAGTGTTTAAAAACACAGAAAGTTTTGTCTTAAGACCAATTCCTTGAGTCTGCCATTGGTACTGTGTAGGCAGAGGGTTTGAGAGTATTTGTCCAGAGAAGAAGGCCTAAGCGAAGGACAGAGCAAAACCATCATCTGCCTACACTTCCTAGAGAGACGAAAGACACTGAGAAAGACACCCTGCCATAAACAGTTTGCAAATCACCTTTTACTGTACATATACAAGAAAGAATAATTTATGACTGTCATACTTTATGATAATACTCAAATATTGCAAATCTTTTACGGACTACCAGGCCTACTTAAATAATCATTACTTTACAGAGCAAGAAACTAATACTTACATAGCTGTGACTCTTTAGGAAATCTGAAGGGTTGCTTGTGCAGACTTTATCCCCTTCCAAGCCAATTACTCTTTTACAGATATTTGATTTGGGGTCATTTGGGCTTTTCACAATTACAATGTCTCCTCTGAGAGGAAAAAAACAGAAACAAAAAACAAACAGAAGAACTCTAAGTACAAACTGTTTCACTGAATACATGTGTATACTCAAAAATTATTCATATATACATTAAAGATACTTCCTTCTGCTGAAAATTCATGTCTACAATTTTGATTTCCTCAGTTTTACTCTGGGTGTAATTTTGCACATAGTTTTTAAAGCACATTTGGAGAGATTTTTTTCTTACTTAGATCATATATGAAACATTTAAGACTAGATTTTAATCAACAATGCTCTAATTAAATGAATGCCACTTAACCCAATCCTGTTGCTACATAAATATGGAACAGAACAGATTTTATGTTCATAAATGTTACTGACCAAACATTAATCTTTGAGTGGAACTCCAAATATCTGAGTTTCTAAGAACTCATGTTACTTTTGCCTCCTGATTATATACATTAGATTGTACAGTGAAACAGACCCAAACAAAATGGGCAAGGGCCTTGAGCCCACTGTGCTTTACAGTAATAAAGGTGCATTTGGTCACTGTCCTAAAAACCCAGCTGAGTACAGCAATACCTATAGCTTGGTTTGCAAGTAAGACAAAACTGCTTAGGAAGGAGAAGTTACAGTCACACAATAGAACTGTTTAAGGGAAAAAAAAATAAAATCCATTTTTTGGACAATTGGCTATATCCAAAATGAATTCCAACAAGTTGTCTGATGGGCTATATGTGATGACCACCTTAACTTCCATCAGACACAGTGAGAGATTTATGAAAACTTACAATTCAGAAGCAGAGGCATGTATGAAAAATAAAGGACAGACAGAATGTGGTTATTGACAAGCTCTGGCAAATGGAATGTAAAGTCCAGTCTCAACAAAGGAGCATACTTTCGAATGCAATAAAAGTGGCGGCTAAGGTTCTCCGAAAAGACAATATCATAATTTTGAATGGTTGGTTCCATTGAAGGTCCAGAACACTGCAAATTAAAAATGAGACAAAAATTACTATTTCCAATTATTTTTAGGTAAAATACATTAACATTCAAATTCTTTGCTAATAGCAAGGTGTAATATAAAGATCAACTGAAAAAGTGAGGTCCTCCAAAGACCATCTGATACATTTAAAAGATGAGGACAGCTTCCAGAGCACCACTAAGTCTGTTACAGGTTTTTATGTGCTCAGGACCAGTCCTGAACTGCACTTGTGCTGGGGCCTCAGATTTTAATGTAGTACTCCAAGCGGGGTCTCACTAGAGCAGAGTAGGAAATGCTCTTGCTTCTAACTCTGGGCATATCTCTGGATGTTTTATGTTCCCTGCCTCTCCTCCCCAGGTCTAAACTAGCAGATACTGCTGCTAGACATAGTGGAGTTCGGATGTGAGCTGCTCTTGCAGCTTCTGTGACAGTCCCTTTTTACAGAGCCTGTAAAACTGAACAAAGCAGAGCTTCAAGTACTGCTCCTACTAATGTCTGCAGATTAGGTGCTGAAATAAATCTGTAGGGGCTTGGTGCTCCAAGCAGGGGGTTGGAACTGGATGAGCTTTAAGGTCCCTTCCAACCCAAACCAGTCTGTGAGTCTATGATTATTAGTGACTCCAGTCTCTCTGAAAGAATTTTTGCTCTCTGAAAAATGCTTAATCATAGTTTCCCATTTGCTTCAGTAATGCCTCAAGCAGTAGCTTAGCAAAAAATACAAATACCTAAAGTAGAAATAACTTTCATAAAGGCTGGACCTGCCTCAAAAAAAAAAAAAAAAAATTTATTAAACACGCTTTGGAAGTTTTAAAGAAAATTAAGAAACCTAAAATATTTGCATTACCACATATAACAGTATCCGTCTTACAGTTTTATTTTCTTTTAAATGTCACGAAAATGAAAAGTTACCACAACAATTCCTCCAAGGTACTCAAAGGCACAATGTGCTATGCAGCCATACTGCACAGTATACCCAAGAAACCGAAAGGTTTTTCCTAGGACATTTCGAAGCATGGTATAGTGTTATGTTGTTCAGCTGGTTCTGATCTACAGTAAAACAGAAGAATGTCATTCATTTGGTAACAAACAACCTAACATTTACAAAACTATCTTTTGTATCCCACAACTGACAGACAATATTTAACAAAACAAAAATAACAGTGAGTAAAACAAATAATCAGATGTATCTGAGAAGATTAATACAGTTTAAAGTCAAATGCCAACAAGAAGTTTTTAATTTCCTACACAGACCCATCCACGTGTACAATCAATGGACCCCTCTCACCAGCTTATTAATGAAATTCAGTTGAAGAGGACCTGAAACAAAAAACAACCTTTGCCAAACTACAGAAATTAATGGGAGAGAACAGTGTCAGTGCTCTCTGCTGACTCAGCTGGGATTCTTTTAGTCAAAACAGCAGACAGGCTTATCTGCCACGTGTCAAAACATGTGCAACAGTTCCAAAAAAATCCTCACCTCCACTAGGTTTGGCTGAATGTAATGCGAAAAGCTCTAATTGTACCTTTAAATGCAAGATTTCCTTTCCTGACTGGACCACGTACTGTAACACAGATGCAGTTATTTATTAAATAACACTCGATAGAGTTGTTTTAATCACATGAAGACGGTGCAACTCAAATCACTGTTTGCCTTCAAGCATTAGCATTTAAAACTGAAGACTCAACAGCAAAACAGAGAAGTATTAAACTATCTGAGGTGATTTGAAAGACATTTCACAATTGAAATTACATTCACAGTAAACGAGTAATCAAGTAATCAACCAAAACTTTAAAAGCAACCTGGCAATCAATCAAATGAAAAAAGGTGTTAAGAACTAAATAAAATTAAGAGAGTCCTGAATGGCTGCGTAAGTAAGACTATTCTAGGAAGGGAATACAACTGCAGACTCTGAAGGTTTCACAAACCCTTCATTTGACTAGACTTCCATTACCAAAATGCTTGGCATTAAAACCTTTTGTCCTCAGCTACAATACAGTGACACAAGTTCTGCAGCACATAAGACTATAAATACCTTGACTCCCCCACATATTTAAGTCAAACTCTGATTATTAGATGTAATTCCTGCAATACTAATCTGTTTCCTTACTCCAATTTTAAGATATTTATATATATATTTCTCTAAAGTGAAATACACACATACTGAGTATAACTGAAGCATTCTGCAAGAAATATGTCCCCCTTAAACTATCAACTTTATCATGAACTAAAACAACAGCACGATTTCCCTCATTTAAGATGCTTGCTAAATAAATCCAGTTAGGTAAAAATAAAAAAATTAAAAAAAAATATATAAAAAAAAGATGCTGTGTGCACAATATGCCCTTTTTAATAATGAAATACACACCCACCCCTTCTGTATTTCATGACATTTTGCTGTTTAAGTGCAGGAATTTAAAAGCGCATACCTTTACTTGCACAACACTCTCAGAAGTTAACTGGAACTTTGCCCAAATACAGTCAAAAGTGGCTTTTGTTCTTTGCATTTAGTACTTATTTATAAAGGAAAAAAAAAAAGAGAGAGAGAGATTGCAGTGTTCTGTACTCAGCTCACTTCCGTATTCCAAAAAAAATAACATAAAACATCTCCAGAATAAATCATGGATTGGTTAGGTTTGGAAAGGACTTTAAGATCATCTAGTTCCAACCCCCACGCCATAGGCATGAAACAAATCTGTAATTCGGCATCCTTCAGATTACCTAATAAACTTCACAGTAATGACCCCAAAATACAAAAGAAAACAAAAGTCTTGAAATGTTTCATTAGCACATGCAGTGCCCAGCATACTGCAGCGCACCATGTGAAAACTAAACCAGCTTCACCACAAGCAAAACGTTCTTTCAGCAGAATTTATTCTGGAGTACCAAAAGAGCGGGTGCTCTTCTCAACCCAGTAGGCTATGAAAAGCATAAACCAGCTCCTTGCTCTCAGCGCATGAAACACTGTGAGCCCAGAAACATATTCCAGGTGATAAAAGGAAGATGGAGTGACAACAAGTCAATCTGAATTGCACAGCTAGTGTGAATTAATAACCACAACTATCTTGAGAGAAGTCGATCATCAATACTTCTTAACAGTATCTGCCAGAAAGGCCACCTTGCATCGGTCCTTGGTTGAGGCAGACAAATACTGCACAATCATCCTGTATTTCAGGTCCATGCTACTCAGAAACCTTATATTAATGTATTTAGAGTACAGAATTCAGGCATCTGTGGATATTAAAAGGAATTGGAGAAACTTTGCATTACACTGACTAGAGGTAGGTAGTGTTGATTGTAGCAAATGGAATGGTAATAGACACGAGAGAAAATGTAAACTTCTCATGCCAACAGCTATAACTAATTTTTATTAAGAAATCAAAAACAATGGCTAGCTGTCTCTGAAAATAAGTTTCAGACTGATGGCAACTGATTTCCCCTTAGACTCCGGATGACATGTACCTCCCAATAGTTACAACTGAACACATTTGTTTCTCTCTGAGGTCTCCAAGTAACTCTGAATGAGGAGGGATAGATTTGTAAATAATTCAAGGAAACACAAGGTTCAGAGTGAGCTTTACCTACTGCTAGAGTGGTCATGGTATAAAAGTCACCATGACAACAGAACATGAATGAGTAGGTTTCAAATTTGGGACCAAAGAGGTCCCAGTTCTCTTAAAACTCTTAAGCTCCGAGATGTGCATGTCATCACTCCCAGCTAATAAATGTGGCACAATGGACTTTTTTTTTAAAGGCTCAGGCTTATTAGATATTCATGATAATGATGAAAAGGCTTAGCTCTTATATAAGGCTTTGGATTTTTTTACACAAGGAAGTTAATTTCCAATTATGGCATATATATATATATATACACACACACACCCCTAGATTATACAGTTTGAACCTAAAAAGACAAGTTTTGAGGATTGGGGTTTTGTTTCTAACATTAAGGTCCTAGATATCTAACGCAGAGTAACTACAATCATGAAAGTTTCCACTTAATTTTGAGTAACAGCTTTTAGTTAATAAGTAAATGGTTGTCCAGAGTAAGCCCAGTCAAAAAAACAAACCCAAACAACTAGTTTATTTTAAAAAATAACACAGAATATTTATCTTACAATTGCTCTAGCTTAAGCATCAGTAAATATAATTCTGCTACCACAGAAAATTATTCATCAGTACATTTTTAAGAACAATGCCATATTGTTGACCACAAAAAGGCAAAGGGCTGAATGTTTTCCCACATCACACAATTTTAATACAAAGTGCTGCCAGCAGGCAACGCCACCAGATACAGCATAAGACCATTAAGCACAATAAAACAAATTATTTAAGTCACAGGCCCCTTGAAAACTTAATGGATCTGCTGTATAAACATCTTTATAGCAGAACTAACAGCGTAAAACCTATGGTAATTACTTCCAGGTACTATCACCTATCATATAGTAGGTAGCTTAAAACATTATACTGAAATAGACACTGTTTTTATACCAGACATAGACATTGATTAAAAAAGGTTACACATCCGTATTTATCATGCAGAATACAACTCGTTTATTTTACAAGAACTGTATAGCTTATGTAAAATGTAATTACTATTATCTTCTCTTCCCTTTTGCTTCCATAGCCTCTGCTTTCATCATTTGGGGTTTTTTGTTTGTTTGTTTATAAAATTAATCATAGCTAGCAGGGTGGAAATCACTCTGAGCCTCATGAATGACATCTAAGAGATGGGAAAGGATTAGTTCTCAGTTGCTGCCAGTTATAGCACCAGGTGGCTTTTTCTGCAGTGAAGGTGTTACCAATAATCCCATTACATTGGTACTAAATCTTGCAGACATCAAAATTATCACCAAGGTTCCTTTTCATCCCATCCTTTCCAAATGACTGGAAGTCGCTTCACCTGAAAGAAGTCAAATCCACATGCAGCTGCTGTTTTAGCAGCCAGCAGACTCCCTGAGAATGCCAATCGTGATCCAATTTTGCTGTGCTGGTGGCCCCCTATTCCCTGTCCAATAATACATCTGTTAAAAAATCCTACATCTACAAATCAAGTTTAATCCTACCAGGGACCTCATGTTGGTCTTGTCTTCCAAAAAGGCAGCAGGTTTTGCTGTCTATCTCTGCTAGCGTCTGGGGAATACTCTTTAAATCCCAGCCCTACTTAGAAGAATAAGCTAAGGATCACAAAACATGACCTCAAAAACCCTGATATGACTATATTCTGACCCAGAGGCATTCATTCTAGGTGAAGATTAGAACTTTGCATAATAAGATTACACAGCAAGTGAATGATATCAAGGGACTATCCATATGCAGCCGCCTGGTTTTCTATAGACAGCCTATGCTCTGCAATATGCAGTGCAGACGAAACAGAGCTCAGTCTTTCTAGCTGAAATAAAATAGATTCACATAAATTAGTTGGCCATTTCCAGATTCCTAAATCCCCTATTACAACTTTTATTGACAGCTCCTGTGAGGATAGCACAAATGGTATTCTCTTTGTATTCTTTGCTTCTGTACCAATCACACACAGAGGGAAATGTACATAGGTTGTCTAGAAATTAACATCTTGTTTTCTGTAATCCTGGATTACAATTAACTGTGTACATAATAAAATCAGGAAATCAATGAGCATATTTATCATTCCCAAGTAACCAATGACATTGTGTAACAGTTCACAGTTCAACACATGGTGCCAAAATTTTAATTTCAAGAAAATCAAAGTTGCAGCCAATGAAAGTGTGGCTAAACAACTTACTTGTCTTGATATTAAATGGATTTTCACTACAATAAAAAACTTCCAGTCACATTTGCTTTATATAACACTTTCTAATTCTGAATTTTTACTGAATATTTAGTAATTGTTTAGCAATTTTTCCTTAGCTAACAAACTCCTAACATTTTCCACTTCTAACCAGACACCATTCTTCAAACAAGGCACCATCTCATTCCAAAGAGATACTCCAAGTTTGTTACTTTAAAAAAAAAGGCCAAAAAACTCAAAACAAAGAAAAACTAGGCCATTAGAAGACTAGGCCATTAAAAT